CAATTACAAGAACTTTGAAAGAATGAAAATTGGGCTTTTATTCTCCACTACATAAGAATTAGCATACATTTGCCATTATATTTTATATTTACATTAGTCCTTCCATCTTAAAAAGAAAAGGCACTTTACGACTACTAGGTAACTGATATCCTTAAATGTCCTATGAGTTTCAAAGTCTGATTTTGACTTGGTTGATAAAGAAAAACAGAGACTTCACAATAATTTCCTAATTTTAAACCAAGAACTCTGTTTTTGAGAAAAGGATCTCAGAGGATCTAAATTAAGCAGATGAGTAGTTAAACTTAATTTACTAAGCAATTCCATTTATCAGTCCAGAGACTTAGGCATCTTCCATAAGACAACAGTGATCTGTGAGGATTATGCTCTTTGGTCCAGTTTGTCTCTGCCCACCTTTACTTTAGTGCTGAAGTGTATTGCAAGGACTCAGAAATACCTATTTGTCACAACCCTGAAGAAATACATGGAAAATCAATACACGTTTTACAATTAATTTGCTGAATTACACTATGTAGAATACATATCTCCTTTTCCAATACAAAAGCAGCATATATGAGAGGTTTAGGCCCAGAGTTTCCAGGTCAGCTCTCATTCCTGAGTTTGACAGGATTTCTTGAACTTTTACTCCTATGGTCAGATAGCTAACTGAGCTATGCACTTCAAGTAAGTGTGCTCAGAGCCCTACTGAATACTGGTTAACTGCAGAGAACAGGAAATGTATTTTTTTGATACTTCAGTTGCAAACGGTGAAATGAATATGTGTATTTGGTGATGAGAGCCTCTTCACCACCAACCACATCCCCAAATGTCAGGGAAGAAAGGATCTATAACATGGTATAAATGAAAGTTGATTTTTAAATAGATCTACAATATCCATAACAAATAAGAATAATGTTTTACATCATATAGAATGGTTTTAATGTATTATTTTCTTATAAAAACAAGTAATTTTATAATGCTATGTGGCAAATACCTAATTAGACATTATTTCCTTCTCTACTGAGTCTGGATTTGCTTTTAGAAATATTAAGATATATTATAAATATTTTTTGTTTTGTGTACCATTATTATATAATTAGACTGCAAATTCTTTATTGTGTAATTAGACTTTGTTTTACTGGAAAACTATATTTTAATTCTTAAAATAACCCTGAGTGATGATATTAATGTGTTGCAGCTGTATTCAGTCAATTTTATATATTTATCAAGCAGCAGAAGTGACACATACTTCAGTTTCAAAGCCATTTGTATGCAGAACTAATAGTTTTATTCTGAATAAGATCATAGACAACATCAAAATATAGTTATTCAACTTACCAGATAGGGGTTCCTAAGTACAGTATTATTCATTTTTAATTTCCTTCAATATACAAAAAGACTAGAAAACAACTTGAGAACAGAAATTTTGGGACCAGATACAATCCGTTAATTTGTCAATGACTATTATTATGATGTAATCAAAGTTCAAACTCAAATTATTGGAGTAAAAAAAAATCTATGAAAACCTTTGATATTAGAAGTATAAACAAAGTAAATTCCTACTTATAATACATAAACATAATACATAAAATATTGATTTATAATATTTCTAATGCTAGCTATACTTGTTCCTCCAAAAATATTCAGATATTACCAGAATATAACTAAATGAATAAATTACTTATTTTAGACTTTTAATGGAACATTACTTATATAAATTTTCTATTTTTCCATATGATATATTTACCCCACCTCCAATTTTATTGCTTAAGCTCTTTTCAATTTTTAATTTTTCCTTCTTTGAAATAAGAAAGTATAGACATAAAATATTATCTACTAACCTAGTTATATATTCATCTGGGGTAACATACTATATTGAAGTTTACTTGAAAGTAAAATTGAGAATTTATTATTTAATTCATAATCAATTTATCAATGAAATACCCAGTGAACACATTCAAATATTGTTTTTTATTTTTATTTATTTATTTTTTATTAGTTACACATGACAGTACAATGATCTTGACATTTCATACATTTGAATCAAATGGGGTATCGTTTCTCATTTTTCTGATTGTACAGGTTGCAGAATCACATTGGTCATACAGTCACGTATATATACACAGCAATAATAATGTCTATTTTATTCTGCTGTCCTTCATATCCCCCCTTCTCCTCCCCTCCCCTCCCATCACTTCTCTCTATCCAATCTAATGTGACACACTTCTTTTTTTTTTCTCCTCACAACATCATACATTTATTCTGTATAACGATGAGGGTCTCCTTCCATCTTCGCGCAATTCCCCTTCTCCCTCCCTTTCCCTCCCACCTCTCTTCCCTATTTAGTGATCTTCTTCTCATGCTCTTCTTCACTATCCCATTTTGAGTCACCCCCCTTATATCAGAGAAGACATTCGGCATTTGTTTTTTAGGGATTGGCTAACTTCACTTGGCATAATCTGCTCTAATGCCATCCATTTCCCTGAAAATGCCATGATCCTGTTATTTTTTAGTGCTGAGTAATATTCCATTGTGTATAAATGCCATATTTTTTTCCATTCATCTATTGAAGGGCATCTAGGTTGGTTCCACAGTCTAGCTATTATTAATTGTGCTGCTATAAACATTGATGTGGCTGTGTCCCTGTAATATGCCATTTTTAGGTCCTTTGTGTATAGTCCAAGAAGAGGCATAGCTGGGTCAAATGGTGGTTCCATTCCCAGCTTTCCAAGGAATCTCCATACTGCTTTCCAAATTGGCTGCACCAATTTGCAGTCCCACCAGCAATGTATGAGTGTACCTTTATTCCCGCATCCTCACCAGCACTTGTTGTTGTTTGACTTCATAATGGCTGCCATTCTTACTGGAGTGAGATAGTATTTTAGAGTTGTTTTAATTTGTATTTCTCTAATTGCTAGAGATGGTGAACATTTTTTCGTGTATTTGTTGATTGATTGTATATCCTCTTCTGAGAAGTGTCTGTTCAGGTCCTTGGCCCATTTGTTGACTGGGTTATTTGATTTTTTGTTGTTTAACTTTTTGAGTTCTTTGTATACTCTAGATATTAGAGCTCTATCTGATGTGTGAGGGGTAAAAATTTGTTCCCAGGATGTAGGCTCCCTATTTACCTCACATATTATTTCTCTTGCTGAGAAAAAACTTTTTAGTTTCAAATCTTTATGTCACTTTTTAGTTGCTCAACAGCTTGAAAACTATAGTAGATATGAATTACAATATGAATTATTACCTAAAATTATGTAGAATTAGAAATAGTATATCCAATGAAGTTATAATATTGAATTTATTTGTGATATATATTTAAACTACCATAAAAGTCAGTCAATTCCTCAAGTAAAATGTGCTGCAACACTATAGAGCCACCTTTATTTATTACAAATAATAAAACTAGCACTAATCAGATTCAAATCAATTCACCTGCATATTTTTTGTGTGTCTTTGAAACAGTGTTTAAGAAATGTAAAATGAGCTGAAAAATGAAAGGCTTGTTGCTTCATAATCAAAAGCAGTCAGCTTTAAACTTCAACCAGCCAGGAAGATGATAAGTTTGTCATTTTTCAATTGTGTTCTTAGTAGGAAGTTGTCAGGAATGTTTGACATCTCTTAAATTTGCATCTCATTTGTCCCTGTTTATGAACCTTATGTTGATATGTTAAAACGCAGAACAGCCAAGGTGCCATTTTAAAAATATACATATTACACTATTTGCAAATACCATGCCTGGTGTGAAAAGATTTTCAGTTTCAAAAAAAAAAAAAAGAAAGTGTACTCTCTTTTCTTCATACTTCTGTTTCTCTCTCCTGTGTGTAATGACATTCAATTAACTTGGAACAATAAGGGACATTAATTAATTGGCCTAATATAAGAGACATCAGGGCTCCTATATTAGAATGAATAAATATGGATGAATATAATATTACTACAGCTAAATAAATACAAAAACCAGAAATCATTTTTCTCATATATTAAACAATGGTAATATTTCAATGAAAAAAATATACTCAGAGTTTTACAAAACTTCAATCAAAGATAGTTCACTTTTGAATTCATCTGACCTAGTCATTTCTATTATAATCCTGTTTTGATCTTCAACATCAAGCAGCAAGGCTCTAGTTACATACATCATTTTCTTCAAATGTTTGTTTTATTGTATTCCCATTGGAGAATAATATTTTTTAATATTGATGTAAGCTCCATATTCCCAAGATGATTGTATGAGATATTATAAGAAACCGGGGAATTTTTACTGATAGGTGAGTTCCCATTAAACATAATTCTCAAGTGACTTGTTAGAGTTTATTTGTCAAATAATTCAGGGTATAAAAGTAGCACATATACATTAATTGAACCACCATTAAGCAGTATGATTGTTTGTTTTTGGTTGATAGAGGACATAAAGATTCGTACCCTGTGGTGGAAAACAATTAGGTCCTCTGATGCACATGCTGTTAAATATACTAGTACCAGACTTATACCAGTTTCACTTTCCAGAATAGCAATCAGTTCTACTCAGTCACAGGAAGCTGTATTTTCACTATGTGTCTTACCTGCTTATGAATATTGTCCTGCGCCTCGTGCCTTATGCTAACTGCCATGACTAACAGTTGTCATTATCTTCATTCAATCTCATCAAAAACTTCCTCAGGAAAGACTCATCGTATCTAGAATGCTGTTTAAACTATTTTCAAAAACACAGAATATTAAAAGGTGCGATGGATAATTTATTTTGTTTTGAGTATGTCTGACAACTGCTACTATTGTTAAATTTGCCATGAAGTGGATTGACATTTAGAGATGACTATATGTGTGATTGCATAATGCTTTAAACTTGTTCTGCTCATCTGAGGCTATAAGTGAAGATGTATGATAGAAAACTCAAAAGTTGGAATAAATCTAACACTAGTTATTTGGGGGTTTAATATTTTTAACAGCAAGTTGAGTCACTTCATCCATTTGTGATTTCATTTATGAACTCTGCTTACAAGACAGGTACAGAAAACTTCATTAGGAGCCTAAACAGAAATGCTTAAGTGGATGAAGCAGCTTTTTGCATCAGATGGAAGCTAAGCGGGATATTAAATTAATGTCAAACAAGTGAGAAACTCTTTTACTTTTCTTTTGCATTATAGCAATTTAGCAGTAATGTATTGATTCTCATATATACATGATTCTTGTGTCTAATGTAAACAGAATTTAAGGATATAAAGGAAATCCCAAACAAAAATCAACCAATAAGGAAATATATTTTGCTGAAAGAATGGGATAAATGTCCAAACTATTTCTGATAATAAGGAGAGTGGGGACCAAAAGTTCATGTGAAGAAGAAAGATCAGGCACCATGCATGATGTATCTTTATAGAGCCTTTCCAGAGCTATTGTAGTCATCTTTCCACATTTTGCCTTTTGTAATAGAGGAGAGTTCAGTTTTGTAGAAGAGGGCTGGTATATTGGGGCATCCAATAAATGTTTGTGAAACAACCAGAGCTGAAATGGAACACAGTGGAGCAGAACATGGTACCACAGAACCATGAATATTCATTCCCTTCTGAAATTCTAATTTGTTTTGCAACAAAAGAAGATATAAATGTATGGCTAAACAGATGGTCAGTGACATTGATGATTCAAAGGGTATGTTTCTATTCTCTTCTTTATGTGCCCTTGTATTAAAAAATAACATCTAGAGAATACAGAAAAGGTGAAATATATTTGTTTGATGAGACAAGAAATTGTGTAAGATATTTCATAAAATTTTTCTTAAAGTCCTTAAATTTTTCTGAACATTAAATTGCAATTCCCAGGATCAAACCTTCAGAAAAACCTTAGGAAAGATTTGAGATAAGTGAAAATAGGTTATAAATAATGTAGAAACACCATCCCTTCTTCTATTTTATGTCTGGGAAGTTTGGAAGAAGTCAGCACCTTACTTTTGTGCTCACCTTGAGTCTGACCTAAATGTAACATCTTTCCAGACTCTTTCCAAGGAGGATTATTCTGTACAATATTATACTTCGTTAGGAATTTGCCAGACTATGAGTCTGGTTTATGCCCACTATTCCAGTGTTATTGCTATGGCTACCTCTCACTTTCAGAAGTGTTTCAGTATGGATGACAAATTATGGTAGTCTTATCTAATAATAATAATGAAAAATTAATAATAAATCTTTATTGGACACTTGCTATATGTGAGAGATTTGGAAATGCTTTTAAGGAACAATGAATTCTTCACAACTCAGTAAGGCACATATTTTATTGTCCCCACTTTGCAGTTGAGTCAGAGAGGTTAAACAGCATAACCTATTCTCACAGTGGGCGAACCTAGATCAGGAAGTCTGATGTATCATAACTGGACAGAGTATGGTGTGCTGTCTTCCCTATTTGCTGATTGGTGTAATTAACTTCATTCTACTTAATGTATTTAAGAATTACTACTAGTTCCAATTTGTTATTCTTCCTAGATTTTAGAACTTGATAAGGTTCATGCTTTTTAAGATGCAAGAAAAAAGCACCAAACTGAAACTATAATCCAACTGGTTGATTGATTTACTGAGGGACTAGTTTATGCCAGACACTGTACTTGGGATTTGCCCTGTGTAATACCACTGATGCTTAAAATAGCTCTGCAAGGCAGAATGTGTGAAGCCTATAAAGATGTATGAATTGTTTTAGCTTTAGCTCTAAATTGGCTCATAGGTTAAAAATAAAGATTGGGGGATGAAACCGTGTCAGCAGGCCTCTCCAGCTCTGATCATTCTATGCCTGCATAGCTCTGGATGTAACTTGAGTATAAAGATTTAAGACACAGAATCTGGATTCAAAGGAAACTTCCTAGGGGCAAAAGGAATTCTCTAACACCTCCTATTTGTATTATCTATCATGCAGGGAGTGCTTAATAATTAAGGAAATGTGCTTTATATACCTCTTAAAAACTTCTGATTTCTTCCTCAAAATAGCACAAATAACAAGAAGATTTGGATTTGAACCAATGTAAGTTTAACTCTATTATGCTGAAGAGAGTATCCTTCTCTGAATCTCTCCAGAAATTTCCCAATTTAGAAACCTTTCTGAAAAATAATTGTAAAGGATGAATAAATAATATTTTCTCATGATCCAGTTTGTTCTACTACTGTGTGAAGAATATGAATATTAACACATGTGAGAGTAATGTGTTAAGATTGCTTACAGAAAATCCCTTTTCATTTTTTTCAAAAAAAAAAAAGTATAGAAATTTTTAGTGCAGAGTAAGTTTTTGTTGTTGTTGTTGTTGTTTTTAGGTGGTGGGGTTAAGCCTGGGGCCTCACAAATGCTAGAAAACTGCTTTCCCACTAAGCCACATCCCCAGCCCTATAGTGTAGATTAAGTTCTATATGCTTCAGAGAAGACAGTAAATGTAAGCCTGTCCCTTCCATACAAGATGATTACAGTATATTCAGGGATACAAGAATAAAAATGCACAGATATGGATAGTGTGATATGACCAATGCCTATGTAATTTGAACAGTGATTCTTCACTAAATATGCATATCAGCATTAAGTATGGTGTTTTAAAAATACAGATACCAGGGCTGGGGTTGTGGCTCAGTGGCAGAGCGCTTTCTTCGCACATGTGAGACACTGGGTTCAATCCTCAGCACCACATAAAAATAAATAAACTGAATAAAGATATTTAAAAAAAGACAAAATACAGATGCCAAGCCAGACACAGTGGTGGATGCTTGTAACCCCAACTATACCAGAGGATTAGAAAGGAGGACCAAAAGTACAAGACTAGCTTCAACAATTTAGTGAGACCCTGTCTCAAAATAAAAAGTGAGAATTTAAAAAGGGCTGGGACTGTAGCTCAGGTGTAGAGCATCCCTGGGTTTAGTCAAAACAAATAAGTAAGACAGATAGATGCCTGAACCCTGTTTACATTGACTAAATAAATTTCTGAGATTGGAACATGGAAATGAGTATTTTTAAAACTCTACAGGTGATACTGATGTACACTATGGATAACAACCAGTGGATTAAAATACATATGGAATATATTAATATTACAGATTGAAAAAGAAGTTAATTTGGGCTGAGATTTTAAAAAGATGGTGTCATAGAAGAGATGAGATTTCAATGGAAGGTCTGAAATAGACAGAAGGTAAGTGAAATAACATTTTTTTCTTTTTATAGCTTAAAATAAAATCTTTCCTTTAAGGCTTTCATTCTTTTACCAATATATACCTGGAAATATTATTATTCTCTAATATATTTATGATAGGACTACATAAAATCAAGCTTAAAATTTCACTTAAAAGCTTATATATTACTGTATATATTAGTGTATATACTGTATATATCAGTGATTAATATTAATATCCATAATAAAGAAATGTCATCACAGCTAATAAATATAATTTAGACTACAAACCACCAAAAGGCAGGCTTCATGTTTTATTCAAATTTTGATTATATGATCTTTACTATAGGGATTGGTATCTAGAATATACATTATATGTATTTGTTGGATGAGTGAGAAACTTAAATTTACTCAGTTTATTCATTCCACCTTGCTTTTGAGGCAAATTGCCATGGTCTCCTGTTGAAGGATCTAGTATTTTACCTATGAAGGTCTGGGTTGTTTGTTTGTTTTTTTCTTTATTGTTTTGTGGTATTAAGGAATGAATCGAGGGGTGCTTTCCACTGAGTTACACACTCAGCCCTTTTGATTTTTTTTTATTTTGAGACAGAGTCCACCAAAGTTGCTAAAGCTATCCTTGAACTTGAAATTGTCCTGTCTCAGTCTCCCAGGTCATTGGGATTACAGGTGTGTATCACCAGGTCCAGATACCCTCCTGTGTTTTTTTGTTGGTTTGTCTGTTTGTTTGTTTGTTTGTCTGGAACTGAGAGCTACCAAAGAAGTTGACAATTAGCTTGTAAGAATAAAGTTTTAGGTTTTCTCTTTGCCAGAAAAGACCTCAGGGTAGAAGATAAATGTAGAGAAGGCAAAGGAGTTGTGAGCATGTAAGCATCAGCAGAGTTCTTCTATGTTAATGCCCAGAACAGGTGGCAACCTTATTCTCAGATCCATCCTCCCAACAGGAAGAAGCAGAGTTCCCAATCCTAACCACAGGCAGGAGCAAGGCTTCCGAAGCTCTCCCAAGTTCTATCTGCTGACCCCTGCTTTTCTGTAAGAAAAGGTTATTCTGTCACTACTTTGCTTGGGGCTGTTCGTGGTGGTAGAGTGGGCTGAGGGTAGAAAGCTTTGATGTGATCATTCATACTGGGCTTAGTTGTAAAACGAGTCGTTAAAACATTTTTAGAACATTTTCAGTGTGAGACAGACATTTATTTTGGCATTAGGGAGGGGGCAAGTAAGATCTGGAAGACAAATGTGGGCAGAAGTTATTGTCACAGTTACAGGTGCCTGTGAGTTCAGCCTAGTGCCCCTAAGGATGGCCAGGTTTTTCTTCCCCATCAATTGCTTCTGGTTCAGTTAACATGACTCTAGGGTAGCAGGTCTTTAAAGGACCATGCCATTCTAAAGGACTATTAAATTAATTCCTGAGGGCACATGGAATTCAGATCAAACCACAAAACTTCCATACTACTAAGTGGAATCTTAGTGATTACTAAGATTACAAAGTAACCAAGGGAACTAATTTGCAAGATGTGGATCAAGGCATGTATCCACTGGCCATCTTAGGAATGGTGATACTTTTTTTCCTCCTTTCCCCTCAACCAGGTACTATGTGATTGCCTCATCCCAGAGAAGCCTGATCATCATTAGGAAAAAACATACTGAAAACAAATATGATTCATGATTCTTCATAAGCAGCAACTGAACAAGAACAAAACCAAAATAGTTTAATTCATTTGGGCAACAAAAAAAAAGCTGAAAATAAAATGAATTCAGGTATTGATGATATTTCAAGAGTGGACTGTCATGTCCCTGCTGTACTCAACACCAGTACAATAGGTATTTTAATCACAGTGGTAGTTGGACATAGTGCTATAAGCTCATGAGATCCAAATACAAGTATTCCTTCTTTCCAAGTCTCCAGTTACTTCAGTTTGGTAGCTTGAAGTGGATCCTGGTGAATCTCTACCATGGAAATTGGCAAACACTACAAATCAGGATTTTATTTTCTTCTGTAGAGTGCCAGTGAGCTGGTTGACCAGCACACCACTGAGTGACTTGCACATTTAGAAGAGATCCAACATAAATATGTCTTTATAATTAGGAATGTTGCTCACTAAGTAAATATTTAAAGAAGACACTGCTTAAGAGAGTATTTTGTTAGACTTTCTAGTGTGAACCTCTTATTAACTGTCAGGTAACAGCTAACAAAAGCTTTGTCTTAGTCTCCCCATCCTTAAAATGAGAACATAATAGTACCTGTTTTATAGGATTGTTTTGACAATAGAATGAGTTAAGTATGTACTTTAAAAAGTGCCTGCCTCAATCAGGATATTCTATTAATATCATCAGAAGATGAGACTATGTGGCTTTTTAGTCTTCTAAAAGACTGCTTAATTTCAGTGTTATTTTCCTTCTTTAGCTTTTATATCTTTTAGAAACTAATACCAAAATTCCACAAGTTTTGTAAGTTTCCGTTAAATAAAAGCACATCAAATCACTTTGAAATGCATAAAGCACTATGTAAATGAAAGGTACAATAATTATGTTAAAGGCGTCATCTTGGATTTTGTTTATACTGCATCTTTCAAATGAGCATCAGATTTTTCTCTAGGCAGTTACCGCTCCTACAGAAACAAACACAGATGGTGCCCAAACTTCCTACTGAATAGTTTTAGGCAATAGCATTTATCAAAATACCACAGGTCACTAAGTGTACAAAGACTCAAAGCAAATCCCACATCTCAGTGTCAGTCCAGCATAGTAATTTAGGCAAATAAGCCTTTGTTTGATAATTCGAGAATTTTCTGATGTGTAAAATACACTAGCACAACAAACAGAGAATCTGAGGTGGAAGCTGTCTCCCAAAATAGAATATTAACATGCAATTTCTTTTAGAGAAAAATAGATTCAGTTTTTCTTCTCTGATGTACATTTCTAGCTGAAGTAAAACCCAATTGTTAGATTGTGCATGCAGGTATCCCCATTTGCCATTGGGGAGATATGTCTTAAAGATATTTTTCTTATATTCAAACCTCAGAACCCAGTCTTTGGGGTAGAATCATCCATTCTTGAGCGAGATAATTCTGTGATTTCTCTAACTCTGCTCTCTTAATTGTCTTTTGCACTGTTTTAAACCTGTTAGCCCTTGAATTAGTTACTTGCTGTTCTTCTGACTCAGTGACCAGTAGGGGATCTGACCCCTGACCTAGAGAGCTCTCAGCTGGTGCTGCAGACTTCTCCCAGTCTTTGGCAGAGGGATACTGGCAGACACTAGAGATTGATTTTTTTTTATTGGTTGTTCAAAACATTACAAAGCTCTTGACATATCATATTTCATACATTAGATTCAAGTTGGTTATGTAACCGATGTGATTCTGCAATCTGTATTTGGGGTAAAATTGGGACACTAGAGATTAAGAAGGAAGAAGCCTGGGCATTTCTCCTGACAACCATTTTGTCTCCTTCTCTTTCTGGGGCAGCAGTCACTTTTCTTCTCTACTCCATCCCCAGCTTGCCCACCAGGTATTAAGGCTCCTGGATTGCTGTAGTGTATCTCTTCTATGTTTCTTTAATCCAGTGTTGGCATACTCCTGTTACCAATTTCTGAATTGTTTTATTTTTTTTTAATCTGGTTTTCATCTTCTCTTCAATTACCTTTTTTTCCTGTTTTTGCCATTTTCCTGTCATTCGAATATTCCAAGTGAATCCTGTTTTCCTAATTGGGCCCTGCGATCCAGCCGACACAAGCCACCTGCTCATACTGAATTCTTGGACAAATAACGCTGTGAGAAAGGCAGTTCTGTTACTCATCATAATGATCTGAGAGACCCTTCTGGAACATGAGCTCTTACAATCACTGCTCTCTTTGCAGCTCTTCTCCTTTAGTTAAATGATGACTCTACCTTGAGCCCGCTCTGTGCCATGTCCCTGAGATGGAGACAGAAAGTATTTTTCTTTGTTTCTGCTAACATTAGTGTCAGAAGACACTCAAGCATTACGCTTGATTATTAACCTAGCCTGTCTCTCCTCTTCACGGTGCATTCCTCAAATGCACTGCAGGGAGCTGGCTTACAGGTGGTTGGGCTGTTAAATGTTAGTGCCTTACAGGTAAGTCACAAAGGATGGCAAGGTCTCCAGATCTAGTTCCACATTCATGAATAATAGGATTGGAATATGATATGTTAGTTACCATTCCAGAATTCTATTCCTTATGAGTTATTCTCTAGGAAAGAAAATACAAAACAGCTCCATATCTTCAAAGTTCAAATTAGTTTTATAAACCTATTCTTAATCCAGAAGTGTCAAACTAGAGTTGTCTCACGCCCTTGCTAAACCTATTTTGGATTTTAACGTTGAAACATACATTAATGCTGAGTTTCTAAAAATAATGTTTTGTGAGGTCTTCCATATTTTTTTTTTTCCATTCACGCTATTCTGTTGCAATGCTCCTCTTCCTGGAATGATCTTTTTCATTTTCTTTGGTTGTATTATTAATTCTTGGCCAAAACCCATCTTTCCAGAAGTGCTCCCTGAATTTTCCCACTCCTGGTTTGGAATGGGTTGCTTAGCGTCCCCTTTTTTGTGTCTCCATCATGTGTTATGTGAAATAACATGTTTACCTCTCTGTTTTCTGTTGGACTTGATGCTGCATAATGAAAGGATGTTTTAATCAGCTTTTGCCTCATTGTGACTAAAAATCCCCTGACCAGAACAATCATAGAGGAGGAAAAGTTTATTTGAGGGCTCATGGTTTCAGAGATCTTAGTCCATAGAATGCTGGCTCCATTTCCTTGGGGATCAAGGTGAAGCTGAACATCATGGAAGAAGATTGTGGCAGAGGGAAACAGCTTCCATGGTGATCAGGAAGCAGAAAGAGGGAGACTCCACTCTTGAGATACAAAATATATGCCCTATAGCCACGCCCCTATCCCCACCTTCTTCAGCCACACCCTACCACTAATTAATCCCTATCAGGGGACTAAGCCTCTTCCAACTCAATCATTTCTCCTCTGAACTTTCTTGCATTGTCTTATAGTGAGCTTTTGGGGGACACTTCACATCCAAACCATAACAAAGGACTGTGTTTCATCTTTGTACTTCTAGTGCCCATTTTAAAAACTGTTTCTGAACAATACTCTGAAAATTCTGGGGCCTCCTATGCTGGGAAAAAATTAGGTTTAAAACCTAAAAACATTAGGTTTTTGAAAAGGAAAGTTTTTTATTTTTTAATTTTTTTTTAGTATCAGGACCATTTTACTAACAAAATGCAATCTAGTGTTTGTATCTTGCTTTTAAAAGTACATAGAGCATTGTTGAACAACATGGATGCATAAGGGAAACAGGCACAAAAGAGGAACAGTAGCACTTTAGCAAGTTTAGGATAAAACCCAAATCTTTACCTTGCTTTTTGTTCTTTTTCACCAGAAGTTGCGTCCTTTTCCTGAGTTTGTCTTCCTCAATTTAAGCCTTTATTTTTCGTGTCCATCTGAATATATTCTCACTGCCTCCACCATCAATTAAGTAAATGTCATGTCTCTAACTCATTTCCTTTAAAAAGGATGAGCTCAGCCGTGCTCTGTTTATCCCATTTATAATGGCTCTCTCTGCACACTTGGTCCATTGCCTCCGGTGTCGTTTCTCATGCATCTGTTTATTCTGCCCAATTAGACGCAGAGCTCTGTGGTCAGAGGTACTTTTTCTTTTATATCTCCTCACAGCATGTTCACAGCATAGGCTTGTGAGCTAATGTCTTCTACTACGTTTCACCAATATCTATGCTGGTATTTTTAGCTTCTTGTTAAGTGAGCACACTTGTGGGCTCACCCTGCAACTGGGTCCACAGGCACTAGATCATCTACACAGGACACAGTCCTGGCTGGTTTCTTTATTCTAGACCAGAGACACTGCAGGCCAGGCTGGGTAGCATAGGAACACAGGAACGTCAAGACCCCATCCCACTTTTTTTTTTTTAAAGCAAGGAATATTCCTAAGCTACCTCTCCCTGGGAACCACCATTTTCCTTCTAACAGTTTTCATCATTGATCATTGGTTTTCTGTCAGAGAATCTGTTCATTTTCTTCATAGCACTTACAATTACATACTTATTAAAGTGTGTATAGAATAAGCACATAAAGTAAATAGATAATTTTTATATAAATATGCAAAATACTTAGTAGATGTAAACTAAGTAACATATGAAAGACACCGATATGTATGAGTGTATGTATGTGTATACTTTATGTTTTGATTTTCTCTTTCCCTCTACAGATTTTCTTTACTTAAACTCCCTTCACCTCTAAACACCAAGCCTAACAGGGATCCTGGCATATAATAGGTACTCATAAATATTTATTGAATAAAGAATAGGTGAATGAGTGAATCAATGAAAGCAAAGATTTCTTAATAGTCATTAAGTATATCACATCTTAAATTTCCCTCAACAAAAATCATGGAAAGAGAAAAGAGAAGTAGGAGCACAGAAGTAAAAGGAGTCCATTTTCTTTTTCTTTTTTTTTTAAGAGAGAGTGGGGGGGGAGAGAGAGAGAGAGAGAGAGAGAGAGAGAGAATTTTTTAATATTTAATTTTTAGTTCTCGGCGGACACAGCATCTTTGTATGTGGTGCTGAGGATCGAACCCTGGCAGCACGCATGCCAGGCGAGCACGCTACCGCTTGAGCCACATCCCCAGCCCCCCATCTTCTTTTGTTTACTCCAAAAATGTAGAAACTGTCTCCTTCTATAAAGAGGCCTCCAGATTTCTCAGTTTGGTTTTACTTGGAGAAGAGAAAGAGAAAGACAAGAAATCTCTGTTCACCATGGGTGTTGTCTACTAATAAAGACAATAAATATTGTAGTGAAAAAGTTAATGATTTCCAAACATTGTAGCAAAAAAGCCAATTGGATGTTTCTGCACTTACTGCTACAACCTATTTCTTCTCTACTGGTAAATCCTGATACCTTTAGAATATACTGATAGCATATGGACTTCTTTCTTCTGAATAAGAAACCCTGGTGAGAGGAAAGAGAAGGACATAATTTCAGGAGTGAGCATTAGAGTGTGGAATGACCCCAACTGTCTGGTTGCAATTCCTGGCCCCACTGCTTTCTATCTGTGAGACCGTAGGCAAGTCAGGTCACCACACTTTGCTTCGGTTTCTTCACTTGTAAAATGGAGATCGTAAGACCTAACCCATCTGCGTTCTTCTAATTATTAAATAAGTTAGAACATGTATAAGGCCCTCATAGTAATGCCTAGCACAAAGATAATAATTAATATTCATCAGTCATATTCTTATTCTTGATATGATTATTTTTGTCACCATCTCCAAATTAAAACAGATTTACTGCTAATACAGAATAGGTAAATTCCCACTAAGACTAAGCAAGGAAAAAAAAAAGCAGAGGAATAATACAAACATAAGTAATAGTAAGAATGAGATGGGGATATAGCCGTGGATGCATTAGAAATGTAAAAAGGCATGGTATAACTTCAGGATTCTCAGATATTGTTATGTCCTCTTGATAAATAGTTTTCTTCCCTTAATTCTTACCCTTAAGAGAAAATGTTTCTTCAGATGTCGTCTAAGTACCTAATGAATACTACTTTTGTATCATCCTCTTCTAAAAAATTCGGAGAACTTTGTTGATATCAATCTACTTTTAAGTAACTCCAGCCTTGCTAAGGATCTCAACTGATTTAACTCAAAGGTCTTCAAAATATTCATTCAAAGGCTATTCATATTCCCCATAGATGTTCAAACTCCTTTGCTTCATCAAACAAGCACTATTCAGTTTTATATTGCTAAACTGAAAAGCATAATAAATAACATCTTTAGCCCTTAAAAAAAAAGAACTTCTCATCTGCCTGTGCCCTTACCCATGTTTTATTCTTTACTAATGTATGCATGATTTCATATAACAAGTATTTAGATAGATCCTATTATGTGCCAGGCACTGCAATAGATACCTAATATGAAAAAGAAACAATAAAACTATGAACCAAAAAGCTGTAAACAAAACAGTCTCTCCTTTCACAGAGCCTGGAGGGTAAAGAAGGTTTGCAGCAACAAACCAAACATAAATCCCAACTACAAACTGAGTTAATAATTATGCCAGAAATAAATGGAAAACTTAAAACAGAAAAATGGGAGTCAGTAGTGAGGAGATGGAGGGCTGTAAGACCAGTTACAGAGGCTTCCTGAGAAAGTGACTCTAAGCAACCCAACTGCTGGGAGAGAAGCAACTGGGAGGGTGGCATGAGAAGAGCTTGGAGGGACAGGTGTAGGAACTGGCATGGTCTGATACATGCTTCAAAAGACAACCAGAGCTGCTGTAGGGAGAACTTGTGGAAGGAGGATCTGAGTAAAACAACATAACCTGATAGAATATCAGAGCAATCCAAGTAAGAAAATCATATAATTTAGACTTGGAGAACTGGATAGGAGAAATGCTTTGGAGGTGTTTGGATTGGAAAGAAACTATGGATGACCCCTGAGTTTCTACCTCAAACATTAGATGATAGTTCTACTTACTGAAAAGGAAAACTGGGGAAATACCAAGAGTTATATCTTGATCGGATTAATTTTATGATACTTTTGTGATAACTAATGGAAATGTTAAATAGGCATTTGATTACACTGATGTCTAGCTGTTATATAAATGAGCTAAAGATGGCCTCTGTGCATGGGCCCCTATTTCTTCACTGCAGGCTGAAACTCAGTAACTCAAAAGTCAACCAGGGGAAAAAGATCAAATTTTTACACATGCATTTATTTATTTTTTTAAATAGGCTACACAAGCATGTTTTTAGCCATTTAAAGTCTGCCTGTTTTGCATACCCTGCAAAACTTTACCCCACATCTGCTAGAATAGATAAATCCAAAGTCACCAAGACCAAACCACTATTGCCCTTTGGATCTCTCTGACTTGGCCTCAACCTGTCAAAGTAACCCTCAGATAAAGGTTCTGTGTATTTCCTCCACCTTGTGGTCATATCTTTAGTCTTGCCCAGGCTCAAAAATCTCTCCAACCCCCTTAGGAGCTCTAAGAAAATAATCTGCCCTAGAGATGTCTCTCCAGAAACAATGAGCATAGAGGTGGCATGAAGGCTGTAGGAATCGATGATATTACTTCAGAAATAGTGTGGGAATCAGGATTTCCCAGGACTGAATATGAAGAGTTAAAAAATTGGGGATCTGGTAAAAAGGAAAAACATACAATTATAACCACTAGGTCAATTCCTTACTCATATGCCACCATTCAGGCCACACTCTAGTCTCTTCCTTTCCCCAGCCACGCTCCCTGACTGCTTCTCTCTGCCCCTGTGGTCTTCAGTGTTATTGCTTTACCACGTTTTTTCAGTATTTGTTTATTTTTTGAGTATCTCCTTGAAGGTAAAGCATGTGTTCACCACTAAGTTCCAGAGATCTAGTTAGGACAACACCTGACTGAATAAATATTTTCTGACTAACTGACTGACTGAATGCATCGATAGATAATAAGACTATATCAGGATGGATATAGTAAAGGATCGTTATAATGTTTTGAGAGGACTCTGTGGTTGGGGATGGTTATCATGGTGATTATTTTCCATTCCTCTTTCTCCATCTGAAGTTGGAGCATATTCTTACTCTGATGAAAACCCTGGAACATTGGGCTCATGTGTATTGTATAATAGAAAGTATATGGAGAGATAATGGATTAATAATGATATATTTCAAGCAATTAGGATAGAAGCTAGTTTCATAAAAATTCTGGATGGCTTAATACCAATGGCTAGTTTAAAGTTTATCTTATAACATTATCATATTAGTTTGGTTTTCCTACTGTAGAAGAAATTTAAAATGAAGAAAAAACTTCAGGGTCAAATTGTATAATATCTGAATTTGAGTTACTTCTGAGATTTTGTTGTTGTTGTTGTTCCTAATTAGAATTCTTATTTTGTGATTTCAGTGCTATTATCTTCAAAGTTTTATTTAAGGAGAAAAGATTGGTCCAAGTGTATTATAATTTAGGTCACTGCTTCCTTGTTTTTAGTAAGATACTTGTTCATAATTCACAATTTTGCCTTTCACAAAACTAATATTAAAACTAATTCACAAAAACTAATATTAGAACATCTGTTACCTCAATCACAGCATTTATTGAGTAAGGTGAGAACAATTCATAAATACTTCATAGCAAAACAAGCAAATGAGATGTATACAAGATCATGGAAGCTAATTGAGTAATATAAACTACTATCCACAAAAGTGCTCCAGACACATAGTAGCCCAATACCTTCCACATCATTTAACTGTGACATAAAATTGGTTGTAAGATATGTTACATATTATGTGAAAAATCTTTTGGGTATAGAAGATAAATAGTCAGAAATTTTTGAATATTGATTAGAAGACATACTGATTCAAAATTTTAAAAATTTAATAAGTGCATCTTAGAATTAATATTTTAAAATCCTGGGTCACAACTAAAAACTCAATAGAATTCATTTCTATGGCAGAAATGAATGGTTAACAAATGTTAGAGCTCTGTATGAAAGTTATGTAATTATCTATAATTACATATAATTGTAGATAATTACAGATTACCTTACATAAACATTATGCCTAATTGACTTATTGATATCTGTTAGTGAAAATACTGACTGAGGCTGATCCCTTATTTGAGATATAAAACAAGTATAAAATCTAAATATGAAAAATCCTACACATCAACTTATTGTTGTGCTGTCAGTAAATATATTTTCATTATGATTTATCATTTATAGAATACTTGCATAATAATTTTAAATCTTAGAATCATAAAAATAAAGGTTAAAATGTTAGATTGCATATTTAAATGCAAAACATATGTATTCATCTTTTACCCATTATTTCCTGTTAAAGAAATGAATACTGGGAAGGGGAAATACTGGGGAATGATAGAGACCAAATTATAAAGATTGTTATAGTGTATGTATGATATACACTAACAAATCCCACTATTATGTATAATTATAATGCAGAATAAAAAATTAGATACAGAAAACACAAGTAACGTTATAACAAACTCTTCTGGTTGCACAGGGAGTGAAGTATGGTTTTTTTGACAAGTGAAGATGATGTTCTGGATACTAAAATATTTGGGGACATTTTTTAACATACACAAAGGCCAAATCACAAAGGTTATATTTGTCATGACTTTCTAAGTTCAGGAAACCAGAATAATCATCTTTAATGAGAACATATATCATAGCATTTCTTTGTAATTACCCACTATTCTTTTTTTTTTTTCTTTTTCCACTTGGTGCTAGAGATTGAACCCAGAGCTTCATGGTAAGGACACATTCCACCTCTAGGCTACATACTCAGCTCATAGGTGTTATTCTGTTTTGCACACCCAGAATTATTTCCATGCAACTGTTTGTTTGTTTGTTTTATTTTTTTCTGTAGTTGTAGATGGACAGAATGCCTTAACTTTATTTGTTTGTTTTTATGTGGTGCTGAGGATTGAACCCAGTGCTTCATGCCAACTAGGCAA